CCAGCTCCCAACTCCAGCCCCAAAAACTGAGCCCAGAAGGTAGCTGCTCCAGGGCAGCTCCCACATGTGAGGGGTTGCTCCAATGGGATGAGACAGGGCAGCCGAAGCAGAGATGTATAATTGCAAATAATTAAAAGCATCCAGTCCTGTGATAAACACCTCTGAAAGCAGAAGTCAGTCACGCTCAGGAGGCGGAAGGCGTCTCTGCCAGAACCCCTTGCCCAGATGGCCCTGATGAGGCCCTGATTAGCAGCAAGTTTCCAGCCCCAGATAATAACTGCTTACAGTGATTACGCTGGTAGGAGAGTTGATGAGAAAGGGAGGAGGTAACGCCTGTTTGCTGCATTTGGTCAACTACAGAGTAAGAGGGAAGCACCTGGGAGGAAATGGCATATAGCTGGGGGCTGAGAGAGGGCTCAGTGCATAACAGTTGCTGTTAAACTGATACAGTCCACAACAAAAATACTTTGAGACCACAATCCATCCTTCCTGGCAAAATATGAGTACATCATGTAGAGCCACTCATTCCAGAGAGGGAAAACAAGAGCAATAATCCCTCCAAGATTTTACAAACAGTTTCCAGTGCCAGACCGAAATCAATGGAAGGAAAAAGAAACGCAACGGATGCCTTCAAACAAACCCACAGAACCCCTGTGAAGCGTGGAGGTGAATGCATACAGCCCTCTGCTTCAAGAGAATTTGAATTCATCCCTCAAAGGTGCAGCTGCCAGGCACTGACCAGAGTAGCACCCTTGGCGCTGCATGGGCATCTCCAGAGATAGCTCAGCAGTGGGGCTGGGCTGACTTCTTTCATGGTTTGCTATGAAGATAAAGAGGAGGAAATATCTCTGCAGGGAGAGAGGTGCAAGGCAAGGGTGTATGAGGATGTGCATGGCTGGCACACATTATCTTCCTGTCTCCACACTGCCATGAAGCTACACGGCAAGACCCTCATCTCGTACCTCTCAAGCATCGCAGGCGTTTCTAGTGCTACCTGAATATACTGCTAATAGAGGCAATGGTCAGGAAGAAATTTGAATAACCAGCTCAAGATAAAACTTTTCCACAAAATGCTTACCCATCACCTGCCATCTCATGCCTTCTGAAAGTCTCATTATTTGATTGCAGCGTCGGCCCTTCAAAAAAACTTCCCTGAACTCTCCTTCAATCACACAACAAGGCGATGGGAGCAGTGGCGGGAAGAAAGGGGAGAGGTGGGCTGGTGAGACATCACTGCCACTAGCCCTCATCTCTGGAAGGTAATATCTTCTGGGAGCGGTGGGAAAAAGGAGAGAAGAGAAACTGCTGCTAAGTTTTACTTTACAAATAAATTTCTTCCGTCTGCAGAGATTATCTGCCATTTTGTGTCACTGTCCAAGCACTCCAGCTGATAGTCCAGGGCCTTCACTGTTCAGTTCAGTAATGGCCAGAAACACATTGTCTAAACACCAGCTGGTAGCCTGTTTGCTTGCCACAGAGGTTCCCACAGAGAGAGCATCCCCTTTCCCCTCAAACTATAGCTGTAAAAAGCAAACATGGAAACTTGGCGACTCGTGGCCAGCGTTTTTGATTCAGAGAGATCCCGGAGTTGACTTTCCCATATACTGGTTGTTGTCATGGCAAGTGGAGCGGGGAAGGAACAATGTAAGAGGTGGTTAGTCCTTGACACGCTCCATCCTTGGACTAATGGCAGCTCCCCAGCAAAACAATCCCAACAGCAATTATCGAGGCACTTTTAAAATGAGAAAAGCAAAAACAGATTAAAAAGCCATTTGAAACCTTGAATGCGGAGTGGAAGGGAACACAGAGCAGCCAGGGCTGCACACGTTCAGTGAACAATGTGGAGATGCTTCTCTGTAGGCAAAGCTAAATGGATCCCTATTGTCAAACCCGAGCGAGTGACGAGCCTTGGGAGGCCACGGGGACAGCACTTGATAGAATGACAATTGGTGCTGCTTTATGCTTAGTGACTACAACATGGAAAACCTTCCACAGAGGGGCTGAGAAGCAGACCTGTGCCCCCTGCCATTGCCAGTGCAAGGTACCAAAGAGGGGCAAGACAAAAGTCGACTTTCAAGTGCAGAATTCAATTACGCTCCAGCCGTGTAAATCACCATTCAACTGAGGTTTTTTTTTTTTCCCTGCTGGAGCCAGCCCAAGGATTTGGAGAGTATCCGCAACCTGGGAATGGAAAAAAACTTTTTACTGTTTCAAGAATGGCAAGCAGTTGTTACTGAGCCAAAGCTTTATTGTTTCCAGTAGTAAAACACTACATAAAAGTTGTAAGGGATGGAGATAAGAACAACAAAATAACGAAGGAAACACAAACAACCAGAGCAGACTGAGCACTATTCACTGAGCCCTCCTTTCCCACCTTAAGCCAATGAAAAAGGCAGTCAACTGGTACAGGTTTCAGATAATATTCCAACCAAAGCTACAAAACACAACCAAGAGAGATGCAACAAAGGTAAGAGTGGACTTTAATAGAAAATATGTGCACAGAGCCGTGGATGTTCCTCTATCAAATTCATAGGTGGGAGATCACATTCTCCTGGGGTGGATCCTTCCCTTGACCCAAGAGGAGTCTTTCCACAGAAAACTGAATGGTTCTGGTGGAATTATTCCATGGAGGTAAAACATAGAGGTAAGAAAGAGAGGTTTCCAGTCTCACTGGTACAAGAGCAGTCCCAAATTTATCTCTGACGGTGTTTTATAAAACCTAGTCTCAGTTAAAAATCAAACTTGTGCCTCAAAGTGGCACAGTAAGCTAGCAAGGATTACCAGGTTCCTGTGCAGAGCTGGCAACCCACAGTGTGGTAAACGGCCCTAAGAAGCGAGGGTGGGGATGAAAACATGACTGACCTGCCTGCACCGCCCAGGAATGAAGCACAAGAAACACAAGCAGAGTTAGAAATGACAGGCTCAATCTTAAAAACTCTTTCCAACTCAGTGTAGAGTCAGAAAAAGTAACAGGTTTAAAGAAAATGGAGTCAATTTTTAAGTGTCTTTTTCCTTCTCCTTCTTCTATTGAATTAACTTAGGCTGGCAAGCCAGGCTGTCTGAGGCACTGAGGTAATGAGAGCGCGAGCAAGACAGCCTCAGCAGGACTGTCAAAAGCTCCAAGGCAAGACAGGACTTCTTTGGTGGCAAAACACTTCTGAAATTGAAGACCCTTCAGCTCTCAGAAGAAACAGCATGACTTCAGCTCTGAAATCATACCAGCATTTCAGCAAAAGCTGACTTTTGGATTTACTTTTTCAGAAACAGGTAATAATTTTGGCATTACCCCTTTCAGAGATGCAGCTGGTTGAGTCTCAATGGCCGGGTTTAAACAACACAGACCACAGCATAAAGCATCCCTCAGTGGAGAACAATGTCATCCCTTGCTTTCTTCAACACCAATGTTGTGAAGCCCACGTTCAGTGGTTTCTCTTTATGTCATCTCAAAGAGCCCACATCATCCAAAGGTTTTGTTTTCATTTTAAAAGGGCAGAAACAGATCACAGAGGAAGAGCTGGAAGGATTTTCCCAGCAACTTGCCATAGCGCATTAGCTGGAACAGCAGTAAGGGAACAGTCCTCTGTTGGACCATGTTCATTTAGAAAGTAAGTCAAGGATTGATTTCCGATCTCCTGTTAGAGTGTTCCAGTACCCAATCTCATTTATCTTCATACTGCAGCCATTTGTAAGAGCATACACTACATGCGCACAAAGCGCCCAGCAGCAAAGGAGAACAGAACAAAAGAGTAATAACCAAGGGAAAAGGCTGACATTAACAGGCACAAATTGCCTTTAAATCCATAATTTCAGAGGGAACTTTTTGGAATCCTTTGTTTGTTCAGCAAAAGACAGGTCAGATCCAAAGCATTTAATAAAATTCCACAGACTCCTACTTGCCTAGTGTGGGTTTTATTCACCCCTTCAATGCTCAGGTAATTTGATTTTTCTCATCTGTCAGGCCTTGGAGGGAAATTGTCCATCCCAGAGAATAAGCAGGACTGGGGCACACAGCTTTCTACAACCTGACTCATGATGACACCATCACAGTCAGCCAGATGCTCAAGACTTGCAGGGAAAAGGTAAAACAAAGGCCCCTGCTCATGCAAGAGATGACAAGGTGTGCATGTGGGAGGAGAATCTGCAGAGCTTACCAAGCTAAAACAATTTGAAAGTTTTTATCCAATTTGGGTATGTGAAGGCAGCCAGCTGGGCCATGGGGTGGTAGGCATTCTCCCATCAGGAGCTGCAGCACACACACACTGCCCACGACCCCACTGCCAAAGCATCACCTTCACCACAAGACACACAAGCCAGCACACAGCCAGGAGGACCAAAAAATTCATAGCAAACTTCGAGTGTTTCTTAACTAACTGAAGTGTCTCTCTGAGCAGACAGCCCTATCGCAGAGAGAGACCTCAGTGGAAGTGAATGAGAGCACAACTTCACATCCATTCAGGATGCCTGCACCTAACTCATACCAACTCAAACCAGGACCATGACAAGAAAAACAAGGGGTGACACCCTGGGCCCATGGGAGTCAAGTGCCAATCGCAGCCCTGGTCTCACCCTTGCGGTTCACAGAGGGAAATTCACCCCTGGGCTGCAGTCTCCTCACACCCCATTTCAGGGATGCAGGGGTGAATTTCCCTTTCTCTTAAAGACTGCAAAGCCAGGACTTCGAAGCCAGGAGCTGAGCCCAGGGCTGGGCTTGGCCAGCCAAGAACAGCAGAGGCAGCAGACACTTCTGCAGCTCCAGTGAGCACTCTGCATGCCCCTTTCAACAAACAGGGGTCTGGTCCCCAGGGCAGCAACCACACAGCACGGCACTCCTCTCCGAGTGGCACCCCAAAGTGTGTGTCAGTCAGCAGAAGGGGAAACCAGACCAAACCAAACCAGTGAGGCAGGGAGGACAGGCAGGCCTCTTCCCAGGTGCCACTGTGTTGCTAATGCCTGTGCATGAGCTGGCATCGTAAAGTCACCACCGACAGCAGTTGTCGTAAAGTCACCACCGACAGCAGTTGTCGTCTGGAGTGAGGTCTACAGGAGCGGGCAAGGGACAAACGTTGGATCCAGGCAAAGCAACTCCATCTTCACCTTCATCAGCATTGCGTCCTGGTGTGGATGCACCGTTTGCCTTCAAAACATACAAAGACAAAAGTTTTCTTTGGAATGAAGTGAAGGGGAGAGACTTGACAAAGTTATTTTATGTTGCTTTTATATGCTCAGTGCCATTTTAAGAGCTTCCTAAAAATAATAATGAAGAGAACGTCTATGCATCATTACTCCACACTCTGTCAGCAGTCAGGGACCATTAAACTTTATTAAAGAAAGAAAAGACAGGGGAAAGAAACGGGGAAAGAAGGAGAAAGAAGGCATTGTACTGTGTCTCCCAAAGGGCCAAGTCAGACAGAAAAACAAGGCTCAGCAGATGTTTCCAAACCAGGTGGCAGCACCCATGTGCCACAGAGCAGGTCTTCCACATGAACCTCCTGCCCTCTGTGTGCCTGGGCTGTGGACAAGAGCCCTAGCAGAATGTAGCCCTTGACTGTGGCTGGGGATGGGTGCAGGACAGCAATGCCCTACCACAGAAAGCATTCTGGCTCACGTCGACTAAACAAACCTGAGCTAATCACTTCAGCAGCCCCTGGTGAAACTCAGGGTCTGCTGGGGCATGCTGCTTCCAGTGCACGAGGTGAAATGCAGGGCTGGCAATGCAGAGAGCTGTAAGGCAGCAGTGCATCAGTACTAACTTCTCTCCCCCTTCTCTGAACTGAAGGGGGCACAAATTACATTGACTGCTGGAGAAGGGAAGAGGGGATGTTTCCAGTCACTGCCATCCAAGGCACGGGGAGTCCTGCAAATTCCTCCCACCAGCTACTGGCCAACATCCCAGTTGAAAGATAACCTCCGAAGCCATAAAACCTCTCAACGTGTTTACAAAGACTCCAAAATCCAGACTTTTAACTTCTATATTACTGACTTCACAAGCTCTTTCCTTTATGCTTTGTTTTGAAAGATTACATCAACTATTGCCCTCAGTGCTTTGTGCAAAACGCTGAATAGAAAGTTGGAAGCGTAAGGAGTAAACGTATTGCAAAGGGCAGAGAATAAGTCTAAGGACATGGGGGCAGGAGGCCAGACAGGCTGTTTGATCGAAGACCAAAGCACAGACCTCTGCAATGTGAAAGAAGGCACAAAAATAGGAGTTTCATCTTCAGCAGCAGACTTGTTTCCAGATTTATTGAGTGGAAGAGGCAAGAGAATGAGTCTTTGTCATTCCTCTATTTTCAGGGAAAAAGTCTTCAATTTAAAACTCCATAAAGAATTACAGAAATAGTGAAAGTAATTTATTTTTTAGGTACTCCAGCCTTTATTCACTGAACTTGAAGGCGGTTTTAAAAGAGCTGAAAATGTTTTGGTTCTACTACCTGAGAACGAAAATATTTTAATTCCTTAAAACACAGAAGGGGGCATATGCTTCTTCTGAGGTGCTTATTTACAAATGCATTGTATGTATAATGCAAACCTTGAATAATTTCCTAATGCTGTCACTACCCGAAGACATGTTTTATTTATAAATACAGCAGGACCATTCGGTGCTCTGCAGTACCAATATGAGGAGGCAGAGATGGCTCAAAGCTTCTCAGCCATGAAGGCACAATTCAATTTTTTCACTTTGTAGAAGAGAGACAACTCATCCTCCTTGGCAGCAGGGAAACTCAGTCCCGTGGCAGTGGCAGCAAGCTTTGAACAAGGGGCAGCAAACAGTGGTGCCCAGAGATTAATGAAGCAGCCAGGGCTGAGGCAGCCAGTGCAGCAGGCTAAGCACAGCTCCCTCACGCGGTGCCCACCTATTTCACCCCACTGCAAAGCCAGCCCTGGAAGACCACGCTGTTTGGCTGTAGCTCACATGGACGAGGGAATGAGCGGTCTGAAAACATTTAAGCAATTTTCTTACCAAGCACAGGAAAACAAAAGTCACCTCCCCAAAGACTGCCATGAAGAAAGTCATTAAAGAAATTACTATCCCATTTGGAGCCTAATTACTGTTAGGGCAATTTTTTTTCCTACATGGAATGGAGTAGTTAGACCCACTGAAGCAAAATGTTACCTCCTCATCGTCCCTGAGGGAGCAAAACAGACATCTGAGAAACAGAAGGGAAGAAAAAAAAGAAGTTAATGCTTTAACTTCAAAGACGCCCTGAGAATTTCCTGCCACAAAAATAATGCAGAATGGCTCTGCCTGTCTCATGTATTAACAGCTTGCATATTTATGAGCAAAAGTTGATGCCTACCCCAGCCAGGGAGGCACTGAGCCACGGTGAGAGTGACACCATCTCATTTCTAAATCCAGTCAATTCCTGAAAGACAGGGCATAAATCTCCCCAAATTAAGAGAGCTGGAAGCAGCGTCTCCTGTCCATCTCAGCTCCAGGCCCTTTTCTCAGCTCTGCTCAGCATCTCCCAGCATGACAGCTACAAAGCAAGCAGCCAAAGGCGGGTACCCAGAAGATACAGCTTCAGCACTCTGGGAGAAGGGTCCAGGCTGGACCTGCTGACCTCTGGAGGTGCTTCCAGCCAGTCTCATCCTGCAATTGCAAACCGCAACGGTTCTTATACCCTACCAGGTGCTGCCATCATCATCTCAGCTCCCAGACTCAGCAACACCACTGTTTAACGTGGCTCTGTTTAACTGCCAGCTGCTGTACCGCTCTTTAAGTATTAATGATTTAGACAACACATTGGCAAACAAGCAGAGATGGGGAGACTGTGATTTGCACTCAGACGTATGCTACTCATTCATTAGCTTATCTTGTGGCTGTTTCTCAAATCTCCTTTTTTAAGCACAAATTAGAGCCTTCTCCAGCCCCGCAGCCTGTGCCAAGCTCACTCACCGTTCCCTACCAGCAAGCTGTTCAGGTGACCCACAGAATATCAAACAGGATTGACCCGTTCCTTAGACAAGGTGCTCAGAAGACACTGAGGACCCCATTAACTGGGACCTACCAAAGTAGAATTTGAAACTGATCTGAGGAGAGATGCCTTTTGCTCTTAGTTTACCCTCTGTAGCAGCCAGGTCCAAGCTCAAAGATGTTACCTCCATTAAAAGCTCTCCGTGGGCTAATGAAAACCATTGTAAGATATTGATGATTTATTTGTTTAATATTCCCTTTCTTTAATAAAAATGTCATAATTAACAACGGGGAAGATTCTGCTCTTTTTTAACTGAGGCACCTCTCAACATATCAGCTGTATAGCCAGAACAAGGCGAGTCACCTTCCTAGCCGGGGGCAAACATGGGGAAAAAGAAAGATTGTGTTGCTTTCCTGCGTGCAAATTTCATTCTCTTTAGGATACAACACTCTCCAGGAAAACCAGTGCATGGCCTTCTTAACAGGTATCACGGCACCTCCAGGAACTGGAGCTTCCAAAGAAGAAGAAAGACTAGACCCTCAGAAAATGACGCTTTTGAAAGGGTTTGAAAGCAGGTGGGGGGAAAAAAATAAAAAGAAAAACAGGCAGCCTCTCAACTCACCACTCTCTTCTGCAACTTTGGCTCATGGGCTGAAGTTGCCTAAATCCCAATGCAGCTCTGACAATGAGTCATTTTATGACAAACCCCAGGCTTCATTATCTGCCTCACCAAGCTCCAGCTGGAGCTGGAGCAACACATTGGAAACCTACAAACTCTTCTTAATAGTTCCTTATTTTCCCTTGGCCGCACGACCATGCTGCCGGTCTTGGCCTTCAGGCTTAAAGAGCTAAGGACTATGAGAACAACTGCATTTGCAGTACCACTCCCTAATTCCCCGCTCTGGCTGTGGCCTGGGATTTAAGGATGCTAAAGTGTTCTGCAAAGTCGCACTTGAGAGCGGAATTAGAGCAGAGGTGAGAAAAAGAAGTGAAAAGAAAGTCACCGGTAGAACAACACCTAAGGTGCTAATATGAAGCAAAAATTGCTCCCAACACAGCGTTACAAAGTCGCAGAGCCTTTCAGAAAAGCTATAGCAAAATCTCCCTTCAGTGTCCTCAGTCTGCAACTGAGGATCAGCAATTTAAATAAGAAAGGATCGTTGCCCCTTACTCTGCTTTTGGGTCAGAGAGGAGCACAGGGACTGTCCCACAGGCAGAGAGATGCAGTGAAGAGTTTTGCCAGTCCTGACATACAGCACCCATCGCCTGCACCACTCTCTAAGGAGATGAACAGCAGGAGCTGCCTCTGCTTTTTGGCAAACAGTGGCATCCAGAGGGACCCACCTGACAAGCCCCCCACAGACAGATGAAGCTCTAACCTAAATAAGGAGGGGGAGAGGCACTGCCACTTGTCCTGAAGTTCCCACCATTTGCACACCCCAGACCTCCACCATCCCAAAACACGTGAACCCCTCTGCAGAGCAGGAGACTTCCTCGGGGACTACAGGGCTAGCTTTGCTCGTCTCTTAGTTTTTGCTCTCACCAGGCTGCTGGTGAAGCATGGGGGCATTCTGTATTGCAGCCTCCTGGATGCCTGATCTGCTCAAACCACTGGCTACAGAGCCACACAGAACATGAGGCCATGTGAGTTGTATCACTGCATAATGCTGATTACTAATTTCATACGTAATGGATTGTGATTGCCAATAGGTTGCTGCACAGATCACATTGTGGCAGCATCTCTCCAGCTGGGCACATTAAGCACTCAGAGTAAATGAACGCCGACCATGCTCACCCCTGCTGCTCACTCGCTAAAGGGAGGCAAGGCCACATCCCAAATACATCGGAGGGAAAACAAAGTCCCTCTCCTCCCCACCCTGAAGTGCTGAAGATGATCCATACTGTGGGGCAGAGCATACAGCCACGGCAAACACAACAGGGGCACATCATGTGCCTTCCACAATGCACTCGGGTTCCACCTTCGCCTTCTTGCAGACACCTTTGGTAAAGCCTCAAAAGCTGCTGCACCAGCCTTCACGAGCACCCGTGTTGCAGAAAGGAATATGAGGTCTAATGCCAGCACAGGACAGGCTCCAAGGCAAGCCGGCCACTCTGTAGCCCATCCTGCCACCTTCTATGGCTGCAGAGCCATAGCTGTAGTGCCACCTAACTCCCTGAGAGCCCGTAGCAGCTCCTCAGCCCAGGCGGATGCCTGGCTGCTGGCTGGTTCTCTGACGTGACATGACACAGAGAACCCTGCCCGCTGCCACCCTCCATCGGTTCCCAAGCCTGTGCCTGCCAACTGCAACCACCACTGGCTTCATTTCCCCCCTGGGGCCCAGACGAGC